GCTGTGGCTCAAGTGGTAGAGCACTAGCCTTGAGCTGAAGAGCTGAGGGACAGCGCCCAGGCCCAGAGTTCAGGCCCCACAACCGGACCCAAAAAAAAAAAAAAAAGAGTCTATTCATAGACTTTCCTGCCAGGACTAGCTTTAAACTGTGATCGTCAGAGCTCAGACTCCTGAGTAGCAAGGATTACAGATGTGCACCACTGGCTCTTGGTTTCTACCTCAGATCTTGATTCAAATCCTAACTTTACCTTTGACATCCTCTGGAGCCTTTTGTAAGTCACTGACCTCTTTGGGCCTGAGTTTCCTCATCTGTAACCTGGGCAGGTTACGGATGCCCCTCTGGGGAACTTGTAAAGACATAGGGTGAACATGTATAGGCTGAGGACAATATGAGAGACATTACAGATGACCTACCTGTTGCAGTCCTTTGTGAGGTCTCCATATTGATGGACATGGAGTCCATGTAGCCCAGGCTCCAGGCCATCGATAGTTCCCTCGATGAGGCAGTGATCAGGGGTAAGCTGGAGGAAGCGTACCACCCCCTGCACAGAGCCAGATCCCCCCAGGATGGCCACTGCTGCCCCCAGATTCTCTGTAAGGTATAAGATATTCGGTTGCTTGCCATCCCACCTAACCCCACCCCTTCAGCTAAGGAAGGACAGGGAAAGTCTCACAGAGCTTTCCCACCTTCCCTAAAGCCATCCAACACAGAGCCCAAGGATCCTATGGTTATATTTGTATCCGTTTTAGGTTCGCGTGCGTGCGTGCGTGCGTGCGTGTGTGAGTGTGTGTGTGTGCGCGCGCGCACGCACGTGTGCCTGTGCTGGTTCTGTCCCTGAGCTTTCTTTGCTCAAGGCTAGTGCTCTAGTACTGTAGTAACAATTCCACTTCTCTCTTTACTGCCAGGGCTGGCTTTGAATCTCAATCCTCAGATCTCAGCCTCCTGAGTAACTAGGATTACAGGGGTGAGCCACTGGCACCAGCTTAGGCTACCTTCTTTCGGAGGGACCAAGAACAAGTCCATGTGCTTACTCACCTAAACGACTGCTGCCCATGCCCTTGAGAACAGCCTGCCGCCCAGTGGATTCCAGGAGTGCCTGCACCTCCTGGCTGGTGAGAGTGGTCTGCACCAAGACCATCTGTTTCTCCAACTGCACCTCCACACTCTGGACGCCTGGTGAGTAAGAGAGAAGGGAAGAGGCAGCAGCGGACTGGCATCCTGTGTTGGCAGCAAGAGAGACAGCAATTCTCCAGACCTATCTCTACCAAGCTTCCTATGACCTGTGACCTTGAGTCCTTATTACATACCAGATATTGTTTATGACTTTTTTTTTTTTGGGTCCAGTCATGGGGCTTGCACTTTGGGCCTGGGTGCTGTCCCTCAGCTCTTCAGCTCAAGGCTAGTGCTCTACCACTTGAGCCACAGCACTACTTCTGGCTTTTTTCTTTTTGCTTATGTGGTGCTGAGGAATTGAACCCAGGGCCTCAGGCATGCAAGGCAAGCACTCTACCTCTGAGCCACCTTCCCAGCCCTGTTATAAACATTCTAAAGTAGGAGGAGCCAGGCACAGTAGCTCACACCTGTAAGTTTAACTACTCAGGAGGCTGAGATCTGAGGATTAGGGTTCAAAGCCAGCCTAGGCAGGAAAGTGTATGAGATTCTTATCTCCAGTAAACTACTCAGAAAGAGCAGAAGTGGCACTGTGGCTCAAATGGTAGAGCACTAGCCTTGAGCAAAAAGAGACTCTGGGACAGCACCCAGGCCCCAGGCCCAGCAAAAACTTAAAATAAAAATAAATAGAGTAGGGAGGTGACAGCCACCAGCTGAGCATATGCTGTGGGCTAGTTCCTCCTTGATGTTTTTTCTGTATTGCATCATTTGATGCTAATAGTAATCTCCCCTCTCCCCCAACCCAGTCATGGGGGCTGAACTCTAGGCCTGGGCCCTGTTCCTCAGCTCTTCAGCTGACACTCTACCTCTTGAGCCACAGCACTATTTCTGGCTTTTTTCTGCTTATGTGGTGCTGAAGAATTGAACCCAGAGCCTCATGCATGCGAGGCAAGCACTCTACCACTGAGCCAACTTCCCAGCCTTAAAAGTAATCTTTTGAGTTTGATGATATCACTATTTTACAGATGAGGTTACTGAGGCAGAGTAGTTAAGAAATTTGTTCAAAGTCACATTGTAGAGGGGTGCTAGTGGCTCTCCTGCCTGTAATCCTAGCTACTCAAGGAGACTAATATCTGAGGATTGCAGTTCAAAGCTAGGCCAGGCAGAAAAGTCCGAAAGACATTTATCTCAATTAACCAGCCAAAAGCCAGAAGTGGAGGTGTCGCTCAAGCCTTAAGTGAAACCAATGGAGAGGGGAAGAGGGCAAGACCCGAGTTCAAGCCCCAGTACTAGCACCAAAACAGAAACAACAACAACAACAAAAATCCCATTGTATGAAGTTGTGAAGATAAAAGTCCAAATGGCCTAGCTCCAGAGTATAAGAACTTAATCCATACATTCTGTTCACTATACAAATTGCTCAGTGCCTGGGCACCGTTCCTGAGCTACTTTTGCTCAAGGCTAGCCACAGCACCACTTCCGGTTTTTTGGTGGTTAATTGAAGAGTCTCATGGACTTTCCTGCCCAGGCTGGCTTTGAACCATGATCCTCAGATCTCAGCCTCCTGAGTAGCTAGGATTATAGGTGTAAGCCACCGGTGCCCAGCTAACTTGTTTTGTTTATGTGGTACTGAGAGAAATAAAACCCAGGAGTCCATGCATACTCGGTAAGCACTCTACCACTAGGCCACATTCCCAGCCCTGAACACATATTTTAATCCTCTGCTTCACTCTGTAGGCTGCCAGCTCCGTCAGTACAGCTCTTGAGTGGTCCCCAAAGTCAAGCTCAAAGTTGATGTGTCAAAAGAGGAGTTTATGAAGTCCCTATTGCCCTTGAAACTCTGCAGTCCCCACTGTATACAAAGTGTATGGAATGATTTTCACACTCCCTTGAAAAGCGTCACATCCTTTTCATGCCACATTATATGAGTTATGATTTTAAAAAGCCACTATGGCTTTTATGTGAAAAAGCTACCGGAAGGGCAACAGAACAGGGAGCTCATAGATGGAGCCTTTATACAAGGTAGGGAAAAGAGAGGTGCAGAATTAGTGTAGAGGTCCAATAGTTAAGTTTTAGCTTAGATGGGTTCACAGATCCTGAGGTCTCCCAAGAGGATCTAATTGTCTGCTCCAGAAGCAGGCAGGCCTGAGGTAGGAATCTCCTTGTCACTATGCCCTTCCTGAACTCCTGACCTGAGCTGGAACCAGAAGAAGACTAGTTTTCTACTAAGGCAGCAGGTCTATTTGGCTGATAAACCTTGAAATGTTTGGTTAGGTCAGGTCCTAGGGAGGAGAAGAAAGAGGCCACGGAAACTACAGGGAGGGTGCTAAGGGATCAAAAGGGCAAGCCTTGGTCTGGAAGCTCCTCCTACTTACCCCGGAAAGAAGAGCAAAGTCATTTTCCCAAGGATCCAAGCAACTCTCTGCCTCTAGAGTCTGAAAACTTCAACTCCCCTGCCTGGCCATGAGAAAGACAAGCTGGTTCCAGTTACCCAGATGGGAAAACAAAGTCATCAGAAGTCTTTTGCCTAAGAAACCTGCTAAAGGCTGAAAATTATCCTGTGTCCCACAAAAACAGTCCACTGTCTGCTCTTCCAGAAAGAATGTTTTTAACTTAAGAGAAGGGCCTAACATTTGGGTAAATCTTTGGTCAGAATATCCACTCTTAGCTAGGCACTAGTGGCTTACACCTGTAATCCTAGCTACTCAGGAGACTGAGATCTGAGAATTCAAGGTTCAATGCCAACTTGTGCAGGAAGTCTGTGTGACTCACATCTCCAATTAACCACCAAAAAGCCACAAGTGGAGCTGTTGTAGAGTTCTATCCTTGAGCAAAAGAAGCTCAAGGACAGCACCCAGGCCCTGAGTTCAAGCCACAGGGTAGGCAGAGAGAGTGGTGGGGGAAGAGGAAAAAGGGAAAAAAACTCAGTCGAGAGTTCTGACAAGGCAAGCTTGAGACCAATACTCTACAGTTTTCCCTCCATGTCTTTGGTGTGACTCTAAAAACACTCCTTTCACTCTCTACCAGTTTCTCATCTGTAAAATGGGACTTGAGCTGGACTGATCTGATCCTTCCCAGAATCTTCCCGATAACCGGAAGAACGCATAGTCCTGGCTCTTACCTGTCACCCCTTTCAAGGACTTTTGCACCGCGTCCACGCAGCTCTGACAGGTCATCTGCACGGCGAACTCCAGCTGCGAGGGCGACAGGGACCCCCAGGTGAGAGCTGGGGACGTTTCCCGCAATCCTTCCCCATGTTTACGCCAAATTCTGGGCATAGCATAGATGCCGCACCCGGTCCCCGGTCAAACCCTTCCCGTATCTTCCGATCCTTCCAGGCCCCGCGGTCTCACCCCACCCCTCGGCTCATGACCAGGGCCTGGCGGCCGAGCGCCAATTTCATTCCCGGGTCGCAGGCCCTGCCCCGGGAGTCTGCTCCTTCCTAGGATACCGACCACCCAGGGGCTGGGCTGTGCCCCTCAAGCTTCCGACTCGAAGCCTCCCCTCTCACCGTGCATTGGGACTCGCGGTCCCCTGAGTCCGAAGCCATCCCGGACCGAGGAAGCCGCCGCCCAGCTCCCCAGCGAGTCCAGCCGCCGACAAAGCGCGGTGTCGCGCAGGGGCGGAGCCTCGCAACCACCCGCGGTCCCGCCTCTTGGCGCATGCGTCCATCTGGCCCTGGCCGGAAGTCTTCCGGAGGCAAGTATAGGTCGCGCAGGCGCACTGGAGCCATCGAGTCTGGTTGCCTTAGTAACTGTTTGGCGTCCTCGGCCGGGTGCTCGCGCGGGCCTCGCCTTAGCCAAGATGGAGCCCGAGGAGCCAGAACCTGAGTTTCAGCAGTTTTACCATCAATTACTGAATCCGCTGTCGCTCCTCTCAGAGGAGGAGGAGCCCCCAGAGTCTGAGCGCCGCCAGGAGGAGGAGACAGTGCAGACTTTTTCGATCGCCAACCTGCAAGCGGCGCAGCTTTGCAGCCGGGTGTCCGAACTGCTGGCCGGCAGCGGGTTGGCGGCGGAGGTGTCCCGCAGGGACCGACGCCGTCTCACCGAGGTTATCCTGGACGAGCTCAAATGCAGCTGGCGGGAACCTCCCCCCGAACCGGATCTCAGCTACAGGAATTACGTGAAGCTGCGGAAGCGGCTGGAGTCCTACGTGCTGCTCTGCAGTGAGCAGCTCTTCCTACGCTATCTGCACCTGCTGGTGACCATGCCCAAATACAAAGGGGTCTTCACCGAGTCAGCCACTCTGGCCCGGCTGGTTGCCAGCCTGGCCAGGGACTGCACGATCTTCCTCACTAGTCCCGCCGTCTACAAGTGCTTGCTGAAGGATTTCTTGGCCCTGTTAAACCTCCAGCCGACCCGTGAAGTCTTGGCCAAGCTGCATCCCGTCTGTCCCTCTGGGTCTTTCAAGCTCTGCCCCATCCCCTGGCCTCACAGTACCGGCTTCGCCAAAGTGCCTTGCTCTCGTCTCAACCTGAGCTACCTCGTCCAACTCAGCCGTCCACCAGAGTTTCTGCGTGAACCCCCACCCGACCCAGTGAAGGAACTGAAGAATCTCCTCAGATTTAAGTGGAAAAGGCCTCTGCAATGGCTGTCCTCTCTAAAACAGATGAAAGGAGTCCAAAAGATACCACTGCCTAGCCATTCCAGGACTCCCACCAGTACCTCTTCCATCTCCCTCCACCCTCCTGTCTACTCCCAGCTACAGAGAGGCCAGTCCATGCCTTCTCTTCGTGAGGGTTGGAAGCTGGCAGATGAGTTGGGCCTTCCTCCATCCCCCACTCGCCCTTTAACCCCGCTGGTCTTGGCTGCAAAAAGCAAACATCCGGCTGAAGACTTTGGGGCTGAGGATCTGAAGCAGAGAGTAAAGAAGATGACCTGGGAGTGCACTCACCACTCAGTACTAGAGTCTGGACTGCCTCCGCTCTTGGGAGTCGTGACTCACAGACTACCTGCAGGGCCGCACCTGGAGGAGCTGCAGAGAACATTGAAGAACCTCCAAGAGGAAGAAGCCTCTGGACAGTGGGACCTCCAGACCCCTAAACGCCCCCCACTGCAACCGCAGCCAACGACCATTACTTTGAAGCTAAAAAATCAGATGGTGGTCCAAACAGCTACTGTGAGGATCTCTGATAGATACTTTTTGGACTCTTTCCATGTCCAGGGGGCTGGAGTCCTGTACAATCATCTGACTGGTGAACTAGAGTCTAAAATCATTGAAGAAATGGATGTTGATCACTTCATCGGTGGTAACACCAAGGAGATCTATGCAGAATTAATGAGCCGCGTTTCTACTGACCACTTCCGCTTTGACCAAGGACCCCTGGTTGAGCCTGCAGCTGATAAAGACTGGTCAAGCTCCCTCATCTCAGCTGCTTTACGCAAAGAAAAAAAAAATCGAATCATCAACCCTGATTTGACTGGACTTTTCTCTGGGAAAACCAATTCTCAGCGCATCAATTCTGAGGCAATATCTTCTATCACACAAGCCTACACATTGAAAAACTTAGATGCAATCAAGAAAGGCTTTGTATCTGTAGACAACTACTTCCAGTACCTCAACAGCCAGGAAACAGATTACCTTCATGTCATTTTCAATATGTATGAGGAAGATGTTCCTGTGGAGGTACAGCCCCAGGTCAAAGAGTCCCTCGAGATTCCCCATCCTCCTCCCTTGCTAGAAGATGAAGAGCCAGACTTTGTGCCAGGAGTGTGGGATTGGCACACAGTGCTGAAGCATAGTCAAGGAACCAGTAAAGTCTCTGTCTTGAGCCTGCAGAATCGTCTGGAACGGCTGTGGTCTCTATATGAGGTCCCTGAAAAGGCCCGGCTGGACATGATCATCAAGTACAGCTCCAATGCTCGTCTGCAACAGCTGCCAGTTTTGCTGAAGGCCTGGGAGCGGGCCCTGAAGCCCATTCAGATGCGGGAGCTGTTGCTAGCGAGACTGGAGTGGTTTGAGCGGCAAGCCTCTGACCCAAACCGCTTCTTTGAAAAGACTGACTCGGGTCTTGGTCGCCTCCTGGAGGAGAATCAGCTTCGCAGCCATCTCCACAGAGAGCTCAGTTTAATAGAGGCTCCTTTGGTTTCCCTCCTGCAGGAGATTGAGGTCATCTTTGGGGAGCCTCTGACCTTCAAGGGGCGACGCTACCTAGACAAGATGAAGCAGGACAAAGTGGAGATGCTTTACTGGCTCCAACAGCAGCGACGGATTCGCCATCTGATCCAGACCCAGAAGACTCCCCACCACTCATTCCTGTTCAATGAGCACAGCAACCTGTCTTCAATAGCTCCTAAGAATACTCCTCTACCTAACCTGCCCACTTCCAGGCCAAGCACCTCAGATTCTTCCCCTAACCCCAAATACTCAAGAGCTTTTCCAGATTTCTGATGGTTTCAGAAGTATGGCTAGATCTGTCTGGGAGTGCATGGCTGGGGCACATGCACTACAAGGGGTTGAGATTAAGTCTTTGTTTTGACAGTAAAATTCCCCCCCAGACCCCCCCCAAAATCCCAAACCCAATATCTCTATTTATGTCAACAACATTGTCTAATACAACCCAAATGTCCTTTCAAATGAATGGAGGCTGTCCTTTGGCGTTTATTGTAATGTAGAAGGTCATACAGAAGTAAACTGTGACCTTGAACAAGTCAGTTTATTTATTTTGGCAAGGTTTGAACCTTGCTTTATACTTGATGGGCAATTGTTCTACCTTTTGAGCCATTACCCCCTCCCCCCAGCCCTCTAGCCTTAGTTTCTTTCTGGTCCTGGGGCTTGAACTCAGGGCCTGGGGACTGTCCTTTAACTTTTTTCACTTAAGGCTTGTGCTATACTACTTGAGCCACAGCTTCACTTCCAGCTTTTTGGTGGTTACTTGGAATCTCATCAGCTTTTCTGCCTGTGCTGCCTTTGACCCTCAATCCTAACATCTCAGCTTCCTGAGTAGCTAGGATTATAAGAGTAAGCCACCAGTGCTGGGTGTCTTCAGAGTGTGATAAAGCTGGGATAACCCTTCAAATCTGTCAGTAAATAAGCCCTCTGGGGAAAGGGGCATGTTTCTACAGCAAAGGAAATGCCCTAACTGAAACCCACTGGCAATACTCTGAGTAGATTGACACTAGATCCTTTTCTGAACCCACACCTGGTCTATTTATGGTAGAAGAGGTGTGCCTAGCAGAGAGGAGGTGAGAGGGTACAGAGATCCTGCCCAAGACCCAGGATCAAATCTCAACAGTGCCACCGTGTGACAATAAGAAGTCATAACAGTAGTGATCCCTTACCTAGCAAGGAAAAGGTTAAATTAAATATATCAGCCTCATGCCCTTGCTGAGCTTCTTCCATTCAAGGAAAAAGTATTCCTTCCTCGCCCGTCCCTGGACACCCAGCTTTTTGCTAGTTAGAAATAAAAGTGTCTTATTTGTTTGCCTGGTGTGGCTTCAAACTGCCACAACCCTCAGATCTCAGCCTCCTCAATAGCTAAGATTAAAGGCCTGAGTCACTGGTACCTGGCTGCATTTGTTGAAGAGATAAAATTCATTGTAAAAAATCAAAGAAAATTTTCCTGGGTTCAAACCCTAATACCACTTCTCATTAAAAAAAAAAATCAAGGAAAAACAAAATGGAAGCAATTTACATTAAAGAAATCTACAGGCCGAAGCTGGGAAGGTGGCTCAGTGGTAGCGTGCTTGCCTTACATGCATGAGGCCCTGGGTTCGATTCTTCAGCACCACATAAGCAGAAAAAGCCAGAAGTGGCGCTGTGGCTCAAGTGGTAGAGGGCTAACCTTGAGCTGAAGAGCTGAGGGACAGCACCCAGGCCCAGAGTTCAGGCCCACAACGGACAAAAATCAAAAAAAAAAAAAGAAAAGAAATCTACATGCTGGGTGCTAGTGGCTCACGCCTATAATCCTAGCTACTCAGGAGGCTGAGATCTGAGGATCGCGGTTCAAAGCCAGCCCAGGCAGGAGAGACCGTGAGACTCCTATCTCCAATAAACCACCAGAAAACCGGAAGTGGCGCTGTAGCTCAAGTGGTAGAGCACTCGCCTTGAGCCGAAGAGCTGAGGGACAGTGTCCAGGCCCAGAGTTCAAGCAAAAAAAAAAAGAAAAAAAAAAGAAATCTAAGGGCCAGGCACTGGTGGCTCATGCCTGTAATCCTAGCTACTCAGAAGGCTGAGATCTGAGGATCAAGGTTCAGATCCAGCCCAGGCAGGAAACTCCGTGAAACTCTTATCTCCAATAAACCACCAGAAAACCAGAAGTGGCACTGTATCTCAAGTTGTAGAGTGCTAGCCTTGAGCTGAAGAACTGAGGGACAGCACTCAGGCCTAGAGTTCAAGGCCTACGACCAACAAAAACAAAAAAAAGAAATCTATGGACTGGGAATGTGGCTTAGTGGTAGAATGCTTGCCTAGCATGCATGAAGCCCTGGGTTCAATTCCTCAGTACCTCATATACAGAAAAAGTTGGAAATGGCGCTGTGGCTCAAGTGGTAGAGTGCTAGCCTTGAGCAAAATGCAGCTCAGGGACAGTGCCCAAGCCTTGAGCGGAAGCCCCAGGAATGGTTAAAAAAAAAAGAGGGCTGGGAAGGTGGCTCAGTGGTAGAGAGAGCACTTGCCTTGCATGCTTGAGGCCCTGGGTTCGATTCCTCAGCACCACATAAGCAGAAAAAAAAAAGCCGAAAGTGGCACTGTGGCTGAAGAGCTGAGGGACAGCACCCAGGCCCCAGCGTTCAGGCCCCAAGACCAGACCCTCCCCCCAAAAAAAAGAAAAGAAAAAAATAAATCTACGTTCCTGCATACATATACTCATCATCATACTAAGAGATAACAAAGAATCACTGTGAACTAGAACTTCTCTACATACAGCCAGATAAACACGTTCTGCTTCCAGAGACCCAGTGTTCTGAAATTGTGAACAATCCTTCATGAGGGATCTGAACTGGTACAAGGAAAATTCTTCCTCTGATACACAAGTTATAGAATTCCTGGAAAATATAGCCTGTGTTAAAATTGTGCCCATAATATTATGTGTTTACAGTTCAGGATCTCGGTGCAGATAATTATAAACATGGCTTGATATAAATAACCAGCGGCACATGAGAAGCTTGTGAAGGACATGGCACATTTCTCTGATGTGTAGGACTCTCAAACATACAAGGAGGTCTAATGTCCTTAGCCTCAAGGTGAGATAAAAAAATACCCAAGGGGCTGGGAAGGTGGCTCAGTGGTAGAGCGCATGCCTTGCATGCCAAAGGCCCTGGGTTCGATTCCTCAGCACCACATAAGCAAAAAGAAAAAAGCCAGAAGTGGCGCTGTGGCTCAAGTGGTAGAGCACTAGCCTTGAGCTGAAGAGCTGAGGGACAGCGCCCAGGCCCAGAGTTCAGGCCCCACGACTGGACCCAAAAAAAGAAAAAAGAAAAAAAACCCAAGCTGAGTGCCAGAGGTTCACATCTGTAATCCTAGCTACTCATAGGCTGAGATCTGAGGACTGAAGTTCAAAGCCAGTCCAAAAAGAGATGTCTATGAGACTCTCATCACCAATTAACCACCAAAAAAGATGAAAAATGTAGAAGTGGAATGGTGGTTCAAAGTACCCGTGCGTGTGTGGGGTGTGTGTGTGGGGGGTGTGGGGGTGTGTACCACCAAACAAAACAATAGACCAGAGAGGTAGAATAACTTGAAGTGGTAGAAACAGGATCTCAATCCAGGTAGGTCACTGTGACTCCAGAATCCTTTCTCACTGCTATGAATGTCCCATTTAAAAACCTGATGTAACTAACAAAGTAAATTTTCTGTAAGTTATCAATCATTCTCAAAAAGCAGAAAGTGCCTGGGCACTGGTAGCTCACGCCTGTAATCCTAACTATTCAGGAGGCTGAGATCTAAACACTGTGTCTAGTTTGGACCCAGGATGGGCAAAAAAAAAAACAACAACACTGAGACCCTTATATCCAAATAACCAGCAAAATGTTGGGAGTAGAGGTGTGGGTTATGTGGTAGAGTACACAGCTGAGCAAAAGAGCCAAGTGAGAGAATGGGGCCTTCCATTCAAGTCCCAGTACTAGAACATACACAGAAAGAAGGCAGGAGGTGCATGCAGACAATCTGGAATCAATTCAGACCATCACTCACGTAATTCAGGTGAATATTCCCAGAAGATTACCCTTTTTGGTTCAAGAAAAGTCAGTTCTTTGGAGCCAGGATCTGGGAGCAATGGACAATCTTCTAGATGTTTTCATAACAGCACTTGCCTCTTTGTAAAGGGTTCAGACCTTCTCAAAACCTGGTGACAAGCCAGGTGTGGTTGTGTTTGCCTGTAATGCATAGGCCAGTTTGAGGAGAAGTAGAATATTAGTACTAGAACCGGATTCTAACTCTGTTCCCAGCATTCATTATTTCAACAATAGTGGCTCTGCATGTCATTGGTAAGTATGAAATGTTGGCCATTGTTAGTGCTGCTGTTATTTTTGTGTGCCAGGCACTGTTCTAGAGAGTACCAGAAGCAGGGGGATGCTGAAGTAGCCCCTACGATCCCTTCTCCTGGCTTTCACTTTCTGTGTAATCCCTGTCCCATGAGGTGGGTGGTACAGTGCCATGCTTCTGACCAATGGAATATAGCAGAGGTGACCTCTGTGAGTACCCATGATCATGTTATATAGGATTGTAATAGCCTCTTTTTCCAGTACTGGTTCCCCCCACCCCCCGCCATCGTGGGGCTTGAACTCTAGGCCTTGGCTCTATTCCTGACCTCTTCAGCTCAAGCCAAGTGCCCTACCACTTGAGCCACAGCACCACTTCCAGTTTTCTGGTGTTAATTGGAGATAAGAGTCTCACAGACTTTCCTGCCCAGGTTTGGCTTGGAACCACGATCCTCAGATCTCAGCCTCTTGAGACCTAGGACTACAGGCCTAAGACACTGGAGCCCTGCCTTTCTTTACTGGCTTGAAGGAAACAAGTGGCCATGTTGGGCCATGACATTGGTAATGTATGGAAGGCAGCTAACAGTGATCTTTTCAGAAGATAAAATGTATTTGCATGTAGATAAGTAGCATGGTTATAGCTAGGGGTCCTAGGTGAAAGATAGAGGGATTTTCTGATATGCTTCTGCCAGGATGGTGATGACCATATTTACAACATATATCCTCCTACAAAGTGAGCTGCCTTGCATTGAACAGCAGTTGGGGAACCTTACATCTGGTCCAGAGTATGCTGAGGAAATCATTTGTTTATCCAAATATTTATTAAGCAGACCTTCAGAACATCTAGCATTGTGCTAGGGGCTAAGAGCAGCAAGCAAGAGAAAGCAAACAACAGGTGGATAGGAAATCGCCAGCCAGTGTGAGAGGAAGTTTGGAAGCTTAGGAATCTAGGACAGAGGTATTGGCGCTGAG